GAAAACCATCCAGAGTTATTGGTAGGAGGACACCCAGTTTTGCCCAAATTTTTATCATGAGTAGAATAATGAATACAAGTATCACTCAGTGGAAATAAACCTTTGTCCAGCACTCCAGTGACTGGAAACCAGGAGTGGTAAGGACTCCCATGCTCCACTAGGAGAAATGGGGGATACTTGTGTTGGGGAATGATGCTCCAGAGATAGTGCACTAGGTAAACCGCATTCTCTATTTGAAAAAGCAAACCGACCCTGATTTATCTAATCGACGGGTCAGCAGGGATGGGGAAAATCCCCTTAAGCTTTACTCATGATAGTCCATGAGTGGTGATCTACTTTGTATTCGTTTTTTGTTTTATAACTGTGTACCACTTGGAAAGCTCACAAGGTGGTCTTATGGAACACCTCATCTCAACAGAGCTTGTTGCTACCAAGAAAATTATTGAATGATTGACTGGTAGCTAGTGCAGATTTGTAAATAAGCATACCTCACCAGGCAACACACACCACAGAGTGGGATCCTCTTCCTAAAAAAGAAAACATAAAAGAAATGAAGTCTCTCACCTCTTTTATAAATGAGCCAGGGCGTGGAGAATAGCAGAAAACCTTTTGAGGAGACAACCTCCAAATCATGAATAATGAGATATGTGTTAGGCATGGTCCTCTTACCAACCTGTACAATCCTCTCCAGCAGGTGACACAACCGAGCTACCAGGAACATCGAGATATGGCAAATTTGATGAGATGAGACCTAAAGAGACCACAGGAGATAAGTCACATGATACCCCTAAGATCTTAATGGATAAACAAACAGTGACGTAAACCCCAAAACCATCAGTGCCTGCAACAGAACATCAAAGAATCCCAACTGGGTATAAAAGATGATCCGGATCTGAGCGTTCATAAAATGGGAAATGGAGGGAAGATGAATAGGAAAGAAAGCCTTACCCCCTTCTCTAGTTGCTGAAGTTTTAGGAAAAAAGGACCTATCGGAATACAACAGACCATAAGTGGAATGGTGAAGAGCCCTGCGAAGAGGAACCTCAAATGAAGACCTTTTCCTTCCTGGCTAAGAGCATGTATGCTCTGAGGGTGAGGGTCAGGAGACCAGAAGGGCAGGAAATGGACATTCCAGTGAGTAGTGAAAGCATTGAACTGCAGCTTGTGGATGAAGCAACCAATTGGTGGGGAAAACTCCATTGGGATGAGAAAACTGATTGGCTACTATATTCATAACCTGGAACGTGACAAGCAAGGAGAACATTCTGATGGTTGTGGGCCCAAAAGAGAAGATCCAATGTCTGAAAACAAAGAGACCTGGAATGAATGCCCCCTTGCTTGGATATGTATGAGACTACCATGGAATTGTCCTAGTGAAGCATTACCATCTACTTTCGCAAAAATTCAAGAGCCAGAGACATAGCTCATCCAACTTCTAGAAGCTCTAAAAGAGTGATATAGAGAGAAGATTCCACTTCTATGTCAGAGGCCCTTGAATTTCATATCCCCTACACAAGTTGTCCAACCCTGGAGAAAAGCATCTGTGAAAGGATGCATCTCAAGACATGGGGCAGGAGAGGGACACCTACTTTTGTGTTATCCCTGTACAATCCAGTGCATTCTTGCAAATATCCCAATGATTCCATGACAACCACTAAACGGAAAGCATGTGGGCCTAACCCAAAGGAATGAGTGATTTCAAGGATGTCCACATCCCCAAACGAGAACAAACTGCGTGTGCCGGTAGAGAAGGAGGCAACGGTATTAGAAGAATGGCTCATTCCAAGACCTGAAGGCACAGAAGAAAATGTTGGGCCGGATTGAGACGTGAATTGAAAAATTCTCCGAGATGGACGAGGTACTATGTGCGAGTAAGAATAAACTTCTTTATTTGGATTAGAAACCCAGCTTTTGCAGTGTTGGATAAAAGAGCTTGAATTTCAAGCTCTGCCCAGTAGCAGGAAGGAGCAAGAATAATCCAGTCCTCTATATAATGGTGAGCATGATTGCACACTGAGTAAAGATGATGTGAAAAGGATCTGATTATCCAGCAAAAACCATATGGGACAGATGCGAAGCCAACTGATAGAGCAAAAACAGAACAACTTGTCTCTTGTGGACAAAAGAAAGATACCAACATGAAGACTTTGCAATCGAAATATGAAGGGAGACATCGGCATCATTGAATTTTGTCATCCATAGACCAGGTGCAAATTGCCACCAGAAAGAAAAACACTCCATTGTAAGCCTAGGAGGCTGAAGGAAAAACTGAAACGAGAAAAGTCAATGATAGGTCACCAATTACCCATCTTCTTCGTTACTATAAATAAATGGGAATAAAAACACCAAGAGAGTAGTGGATGCACTCTATGGCTTCTTTCAGCAGCAGATCCTGGATGGCTTATGCTTGATGACGATCCTTGGGGTGGGGAAAGACAATCATTATGGTAGACAATGGAGGAGAAGATGTGAAATGAAGGACCAACCCTCTGGTAAGAATCTGAATGACCCACTGATTGGAGGCAAAGGTTTCCCATACAGACCTGAACCATCTTAGTTGAGCCCTCACAGGACCGGACCCCACAGGGTAATCACATATGCCACTGTTGGTACCCCACACATGTAGGATCACTGATAAAGGTGGAATCTCCCTTGTGTTCCAATAGAAAGTGGAGCTAATGTGGGAGGTCTAGAAACCCAAATGGGAGATGCAGTAAACTGTCAGTTAGAAGATTGGGAAAGGCAGGAGACCAGTGTCTAAAGAGAAAAGTGTAAACTGGTCACATCCACCCAAGATTCCATGGAATCTGGAATACCTTCAAAAGTCGATTATCTGAGAAAAGGGGCTTCTCCGCGACCTCTAAGGGTCAAAGAAGGAAGTGAACGCCCTCATGCAGAGCATCTGTCTCCACAAATCTGAGCAACAAACCAACCAAGAGACCAAGAAGAGAGCAGAAGCTGAGAACCATACCAAAGTAGTCAATAAGTGACTCAGATCCTCTGCAAATTGACCAGGAGACCTGTGCAAGGCCTCAGAGAGCAGTTGCAAAGATAAAAAACACAAAAGCGTTGTGAGGGAGAGTCAAAGCCTGGAAAACCGAGGGAGGTTAAGATGAATAGAGGCATCAGGCCTAGAACCCCAAAGAGGAAGAAGAAGATCCAACCTCTGACAATCTAAATATGGGTCCTACATGTGATGGAAAGCTTAGGTATGCTGATCCAATAAATGGGGAGGACAAGGCATGGCAGCAGCCTCACTCAATTGATCTGCAAATCTCCGAGCACACATACAGCAGTGTCTGGCAAAGATGGAAAGACTAGGTAATCAACCAAATGACTTTCCCCCCCTACAAAGAAAAAGAAGAGTCATGAGCCACAAGAAAAATCTCAAGACATCAAAAACTTGATGTACTAGTACCAAAAAATGATGCAGTAGGTGGGATGTTCGTCAAGGCTCGTGATTGTCTATCTGAGCAACAGAAGAAGCTGGAAAATAGAGGACAACTTTTCACTAATCTGCTCTTCATCCCCCACAAGTTCAGCCTCTGAGTCTACAGAAGAAATATCAGACCTCATGTATGAGGGATTGGACTTCCTCTGTGGAAAGGGGGCTTCTTCCCAGGCAATGGTAGACTTCAGAGGTGGTAGATTAGGAGAACTAAAAGACTCTGTATCAGAGATGTGAATGTGAGAATTCACACGTAAAACATCTCAGAATTTTTATGTTTAAATTAAAGAAAATAAACTCAAAACAAAATAATTCAGGTCGAAAATAATCATCCAAAGTAAGAGTATGACTACAGTTATACAACACATGTGAGAAACCCACAGCAAGCACATAAAATTGTTGCCATAACGTTCTGCCATCAAGAAAAGTGAATAGGAAGTAATAATGAGGAGGTTATATATGGTGAGTGTGTTTTGGAAGTTAACATTTTCCTGTACCAAATATGTATTTTCAATAATACTTACATCCTCTAACACTCTCCCTCCCTTACTCCCCACAAAATGTCCAGTTATAGGTCTGTTAATTTGGACTGTCTCGAAAAGTGAATAGGAAGTAATAATGGGGAGCTTATATACAGATCTAGTATAGGGCACACTGATGTAGGTGGAGAAAATCACAAGATTTAAATTGCTGTAAAGGCTGGAGCAAGAGAGGTAAGATTCATACCAATGCTTATGTGGGCAGAGAAGAAAAACTTTCATTGGGATGAAGCTAAGTGTGAGAGGAGGTGTGTTTTTCGAAATTTGTTTCTCCTGAAAAATGTAAAGTTAGAGGAAATCTGATTGAGGTGTTTAAGATTGTTAAAAGAATTGATAGTGTTGATGCATAATCTTTTTTCATACTCAATGGTGAGATTGGTATGTCTAGAGAACACAAATATAAATTTTACCAGGGTAGGAGTCATCTTCAGCTAAGACAGTTTTATTTTTCTAACAGGGTGATTGGCTTAAGGAATGGGTTGCCTTCAGATGTGGTGGAAGGAGTAAATTTAACTCTTTAAACCCATAATTCTCTGAGCATTCTGCCAGAATTATTTTGATGATGTCCTAATAATTATCACCATACCTCATAGAATTTCTGGCCTATTTATAAAAGGTGGATAATATCGTGGTTTTGATTAGTTTTCAGCCAAAGAGATATGTTATCAGACACTGACACCACCCAATAGGTAAATCAGAACTCTCGGCTGGATGCTAGCAGCCTCTGCTTCGGTTTAAGGGAAGGCTTGATAAATATTTGAATGATATAAGGGCTGACTTTGCATTTTTTTGTTGTTGTTGTTGTTGTTGTGGATGGGACAGCCTATATGGACAAAGTGTTAATTTTTGTCCTTAAATCATAAATTGTATGCTATGTTTATGTAATAAAGGTAAAAAATTCAAGAAATAAATTAAAAATGGCATGTGTGAAATTTGAATTCCCAAATTAATTCTAATTTTTTTAAGCTCTTCTTTTGAAAGCAGCTTAATAATAATAACCAAAGGACCAGAGGTTTAGCTAAACACTGCTTTAATAATAAAGCAAATCAAAAAGTATGTCACACCTCACAAGAGATGTTAGAAAAATTAATCCATTCTGATCTTACAAGGTTCTATTCATTACTTCCTTTTTTGTTACTGAATAATACTGATTTAGTCCAAAGCATTACAAGTTCCACAGAACACAAAACTTTTACTTACACAGAACTAAAACACTTTGATTCCCATCACCAAATGACATAAAATGTTAATAAAATATTTTTAATTTTGAACAACAAAAACAAATTAAATGCTACTGAAACATTCTGTGACAACTTAGTATAATGTAATATATATGTATTTTCTTTATAATCGATATGTCACCATTTGTACCACTTACTGAGGTTTTAGTTCAAGAACTGATTTCAAAAATAAACATTTCACACTGCAGTTTAAATACTTACAAGGTTTTGATATGAATAATGTAAAATATAAACAAATTTCCAATTTAAATACAAGAAAGATAGTTAAAGGAAACATTAAAAATTTTTTACTCTTGAGTAAATTTTCATAACTAAATGACAACTATAAAATGAGGTAGACATTTCTAACATTTGTGACGCTTTAAAAACAACATGTAATGGCTATACAATAGTAACTATTGGTGAAGAAAACAACTGGCCTAATGAATAGATTATATAGGCAGATTACACTAGTTACATTTGGAATGTTCTAGAAAGTAACTAACTTATCAAGTTGTGACATTAATTCATAATCTTAACATTTGCTGATCATCCTACAAACATTTATTACAATCATTTCATTCTATTCAGAATATCTCATTTACATTAAGAGAAAAATTTTGAATTGAACAACTACAGTGTAAGACATCAAATAAATGTAAAAGAATAAATAAAAATAGAGGGACAAAACCAACATTTAAAATTTCAAAAATAGTTAACTAAATTACGAGTACCTACATGGGCTTATTTGGTAAAAGTTCAATGTACTTTGAGTAGATAATAATACAAATTCTTTGCACTAAACACAATAATTTCTAACAAGCATTAAAGGCTTCATTTAAAGGAAAATTGAACACTAAAACTTGTTATATTTTACACTACATTTAGGATAAAACTTTATAAATATATCTTAGCTACAAAAGGTAATACTGTTGATTTGAAAGAACATTTCAGGGATGGTTTTTATAATCACACCATTTTCAAACTTTACAATATTACTTATAATTCAATTGACATATAAGATGTAAACAGCCTGCTTAACAAGCTGTAAGCAGCCTGCTTAACAATTAAAATAAAAATAAAACAACAAATTGTATTTTAAGATATGCCTACTTACAGATAAATTAAAATTTATCATCTACAAAATGTTCTTAACATAAAAAGTTAATTAATCTAAGTAAAGAAACAGTAATCATCTACTTTATAAACATATATCAAACAATTTAACCATATAACACTGAATGAAGTGTAAACTTCTGGTAGCAATGTTTGATGGTATTCACATGGAAGGAAAAAAATGTTAGGAAAATGTCTTATTTTGTAAATTATGAAACCAACCCTGATATTTCAGGGCCACATTTCTTTTGCATGACACATTAAAGTGCTTGCTTTCTAATTAACAATCTGGTCCCTACTTTCTGACACCTTCTAGCACAACATAAAATATCCCTGAAAACAGTTATATACAAATACAGGTTCCCAAACACTGAGTAGTTTATGACAAAAAATACAGTGCTTTTTTCATGCAATTTTTAAAGTTTCAAGTCCAAAGTTACCAGCTTTATATCATCCAGAACCTTTAAAAGAAAGAGAAAGTCACTGGAATTGTATTTACCACAAAGGCCACAAATGTCCAATCAATCCTTCAAAAAGCAAGCGGAGATTGAAAAATAATAGCTTTCTTGTTTGTGGATGAGGCTATTGCAAGGCTTGCATTAAGAACGATGTCTTTATTAAGATGAAAAACAAAAAACACCAACCAACAGAAAATGTTCCACTGCTCCACATGACACAAGGAGCATCATTTCCACTGTTACTAGAGTCACCAGTACCACCTCCTACAGGATTCTCCCGGGTGCCATGAGACACCACAGACAAATCTACATAACAAACAAAAGACACTTAATAAATTAACATGCAGTACAAGAAATGTCATCAGTACTGTACTACTCAGTAAACAATGCATAAAAAACAAAACATAAATATTAATAAATAAAAAACAGTACAATAAATGTCATCAGTGCTGTACAAACTCAGCAAACAATACATGAAAAACAAAACATGAAGATTAATAAATAAAAAACAGTACAATAAATGTCATCAGTACTGTACCACTCAGTAAACAATACATAAAAAACAAAACATGAAGATTAATCAATAAAAAGACCATGTCATTATATAAACTACGATGTTGTGGCCCAACCAGTCAGACAAGTATTGCTCCTGAGTAAATGTTCTGGTTAGTAGTAGTAGTAGCTAGCTGTATCAAAGTAAATACTCTCGTTAGTTGCACTTTAGTATATAACATTAGTATTACCAAAGATTATAACATTTATAGCACTGATGGTTACTAAGTAACTATTACATAACATTGTTCGCACATAAGTATAGAACATTAGCAACACCTACGTTTATAACATTACTAGCACCTATGTATATAATATTGTTAGTCAGATTTTGTTAAACAAGACCGATGTCTGTAGGTTTACTTTCTTCTTAGAATTCTTCTCAAGAAGTCGATAAGCCGTTTTAACGTTGTTAGAACAACGGGTAAAAGTTGTAGATAGTGATGAGTTGGCCGACGCGTTTCGAATGCGTTCTGCATCCATTATCAAGGCTGAATGTTGTGTGAATTGTGATTACTGTTGGTGGATATTTATAGGTATGGGTAAACAGGTGGTGGTATCTAGCTCGTGGAAGGCATTAATTGGTGGAGTGTTGTATTGTGGCTTGGGGGTTTCTCGCCAAGAAGTAGCAGTGTGCGTGCTGTTCCTGTCGATTCTTTGTTGATTATGGGAGTTTGCTGTAGGATATTTATTGCTTCGTGTATTTGAAGAGTTGTGAAGTCGTTAAATCGGCATTTACTTTGGTGTTTTGTACTAGGTCCTGTGAAAAACAGCCCTGCTAAAAAGACAACAGATCTACAGCAAGTGAACATCATTTACAAGTACAAGTGTAATAAAGAAGACTGCGAGCTCCTGGCAAACGCCTCCTACATCGGAATGACTACCACAACCCTGTCAAGACGCCTAACAATGCACCTACAAAATGGAGCCATCAAAGAACATTGTGCCCGCATCCACAACCAAAAACTCACACATCAGTATGACACAATTTCTGGTGTGGTGGTATAAGAACAGGAAAAGGTTTCCAATAAATAGATGATTTTAAATTCTCTTGTTCATTCCTTTTTACCAATACATCTAAAAAAGACAAACTATTATCTTTCTAAGTTTCACAGGTAAATTGTATAGAAGGTTCTATGCTATTCAAATAGTTTGCAAACTGTGTTAAAGCCTTATTACCATAACTCCACACCAAGAATGTGTCATCTACATACCTTATACAAATATCAAATTTACATTTTGCACCATTTATGGCTTTTATTTCAAAGTCACATAACAAGGGTAAAAATAGAGATCCCATTGCTAACCCCTCATTCTGTTTATACAAGTCATTGTTAACTTGAAAAAAATGAATTCTTTACACACACCTTTGTTATATTAATTATATCTACAGTTTCAATGGCTGAAGATTTGTTTTGTAACAATGTATTTTTAAAAGATAATTGCATCTTCTACTCGAACTTTTGTAAATAATGACACTACATCAAACGACATTAACATATCTTCCTTATTCAACTTTACCATCTTCAACTGGAACTTTTGTAAATAATGACACTAACAAATCTTCCCTGAACCAATTATCCATTGACAGGAAAAGCAAGACACCACTGTGGAATTGTCAGAGTGAAGCCTGAAGATGCTACCCTTAATAAGCCCAGACCAAAAGGCATCACCATTTAAAGGGCAAAAAGGACTAAAACATTGTGTTGGTAAGCTTCATAGTTTATGCGTAGACTGTGGAATTCCTGACTGTTGAGATATGCACTCCATTTCTGAAGAAAGGGATTTGTAAAGATATGATCCCTGGATGAGGTGGTGGCAGAGGAACCCATATCTTAGTATTGTCCCAACTTAACCACCCCTCGAAATCAAAGAAAGATCCTGAATAATGAAATGTAAAGAATCCACTGAACTGATGTTTATGATTCCTGGTCACATAAATCACATTGAAAGGATCTCTTGTTTGTGCATTCATCCTAAAGGCATGAAGGATTTGAGTGATGCCCACATTCCCAAAAAGAAAGAACCATCTGTGCCATGGGAGAAGGAGAGGGGGAGTAACAGTTGTGCTTTCTGTTCCACAGTGTGGAGCCAGATGGTAGTCTGCTAAGCCAGACTAAGATATGTGTAGAAAAAAAAATATCCAGACTGACAACATACAAGTTACAGCAAGAACAGATGTCTCAGCTCTGAGAATGAAACCTGTAATGATTGTTCTGAAAGTAGCAGTTAAAGTCTAGCTGTCCCATTTTGTGACTGAGCAGTAAACCTCCCTGTCTAAACTACAATGTCTGTGGATGGAAAAAAAACTAAGTATTTTTGACAAGACCTTACGGCCATCAAGTAAGTGCAGGCTCAAAAGCCACTGGGGAAAGACCCAAAACATCATGCTCAATGTATCAACTGAAGAAAAGAACTTGGAAACAGTTGATCCCAATTGGCCTCCTTATTAATGTCTTGTAAAAACTGTTCTGATTACCTTTGTTAGGAACATGTTGTCCGGTGAGTTTGTTGTATTAGAGCAAAACAACATTAGGCCAATGTGTAAGCTTACCATTGTCCCACAGGGGACTGAGAAGCTAACAGAATAAATAAAGGTGCAGGAAAAGGCTAATTGAAATTATCTTCAGAATGTCCAGGATCACCTGCAATTGCAGCCTTAGAATCCCTGGAGGAACACCACTGAACTGAAAACATGATATCGACTTGTCAATCATATTTTTTTTAATGAAATTCAACTAGATGCTCCTAAGAGTGCTCAAAGTATCTCCAATAATTATAGTACTAGTATAGAGAAACCTGTTAATGAACTCTTTGTTGAGGAAAAGTGATAACATTATCTGAATGGGTTTCTTATATACAATACCAGAATAGGGGGTACATTGACAGAGGTGGAGAGTGTCATAAGACAAATATTGTCAGGAGCAATTAAGTGGGGTATAAAAGACTGGTGCAAGCGAAAAACAATCAGACGAATGCTGAGATGAGCAAAGGATAAAACCCATGGTTATAAGTGGGAGCAAAAGTATGTATGTTTTGGAATTACTATTTTCATATCATTGCTACAGTTGTAACTGTAATGTGAAATACATGTTCAAATAAGATTTTGTGAAATACATGATCAAATAAGATTTTGTGTGCATAAATGTTCTAAAGAACTTGGAGTGACACTTTATCAATAAATGTGTCACACAGCAAATTGTGTTATGGTGGATTTTTAAAGTTTAGGTACAATTGAACACAACCTATCAAGAATACCTAGATATACTTGAGAGGCAAAAACATATATTACAATGCAATTCTAATGTTTTTGGGAATGAATTCATCTTCCCATATAACTACCACACAAGTTAACTTTGGATATAAAAAAAAAGGTATTCAAAATATTTATAGCATTCCTACCCACTATAAAACTGAGTCCTATACTAAGCATGGAAACTTATATAACAACAGCATGAAAGTCAAGGAATATGCTGAATTAAATCTGTAATCAACCTATGCACTGAAAATTACTGTTGAATAAGGTATTGAAAATTAATGCTTGACATTCCTACTTCCCAGCAAAATACCGACTGAATGATTTGCCACATTAAAGTCAAACAACCACTTACTGCTGTTTTACATAGAAGTGTCAAACAACCAATTACTGCTGTTTCACATAGAAGTGTCAAACAACCAATTACTGCTGTTTCACATAGAAGTGTCAAACAACCAATTACTGCTGTTTCACATAGAAGTGTCAAACAACCAATTACTGCTGTTTCACATAGAAGTGTCAAACAACCAATTACTGCTGTTTCACATAGAAGTGTCAAACAACCAATTACTGCTGTTTCACAGGAAGTGTCAAACAACCAATTACTGCTGTTTCACATAGAAACTTTGAGCCTTAAAGTACCACATCTATTCTGGAAATAAATCACATAAAAATATTTTACCACATTTTCTACCTTAAATTAGATTACTATTTTACTTTGATTCCAACTAAGGTAAGTGGGTAAGAGGGTAAGTGGCGAGCAAAAATTAACAATCTATTACCATTCACTTTAGTTTTATTTCTAAAACTATACTTACATCATTATACAAAATAAAGTTATATTTACCTGGACTCTGACCATCAGAATGATCTTTATGGACAGATTCATCTTCAGTTCCAATAGAATTGCTGTCTATTGGGTAAAAAAGTCGTGGCGATTTTGCTGTAGGCGGATAGTATTGGACATTGTAATTGGGCAGTTTTGTTGTTGTAGAGGGGGAAATTTTTACTGTTGGCACAGGTGGTGTTTTGGTTGTTGTTGTCGTTGTGGTGGTTGGGAGAGGACTGTTAGGATCATGTGTGGTGCCATACATCACAAGAGTCCATTCTCTCAGTGAGGCTCGTCCTGTTAATGAAAATAATATCATAAAGAAGAAACCAAACTACTATTGCAATCATGTTAAAAGTACTTGTGGTACCTTGAAATAAGAAAAGTATGTACAAAGAGTGAGTTGGGTGGTGGTAACATAACAGAAATATGAAATAAACAAATTAAGTTTTCACTATCTATTTTTGTCTTCTCTGTTTCCTTAACACTTAAAACTATTATCCAAGATGCTTTTTTTTTAAACTGAATACAATTTCTCCTGATTTCTACAATATTACATCTACTTTTGTTTACTTGGCATATTAAAACTGTTATCCAAGGTTTTTACTCCTTTTTTATAACTGCACATGGTTTCTCCTGAATGCTACAATACTACATGTATTTTTGTTTGCTTATCATTTAAAAAACTGTTATTTAAGCTTTCCTTTCTGTATACAGTTGCATTAGGATTTTTTCTCACTGATACAATACTTCATCTACTTTTCTTTGTTTAGCATTTAAAAACTGTTATACAAGTTTTCCTTTCTGTTTGCAACTGCATGTGATTTTTGCTGACTGCTACAATATTACATGTACTTCAGGGCTTTGTGACCTAATCTCAAATGTCTTATTCACTAAACAGCAAGACAGCTAGTTAGTTTAAAAACAATTACCTTTGATATTTCAAATATCTTAACTTGCTTTAAAATTAACTTACCTGGATAAACTATATCCAAGATATAGGTTTACTAGTATTTCTTATGTCACGCCACCAGAGCTAGTTGTATAATTAGGCTTAAGGTTCAAGCACAAGCTTTTAAATTACAAAAAACATTAAACTTGAAAAACTGTGATAGTGAACCCCCAAGTATATATTAAAAACAAAAACTAAGAGTGATGGTAAAGGAAATGTAGTAGAATAATAACCAATATTTTTGTTCTAGTTTAAATTCTGAGATAAAATATTGGATGACCCAAAATGTTTATCATGATCTCCATATTGTTAATGAGGTAGTTGTATGACACCTGTATTAAAACAGTTCATGATTTAAACACAACATTTTTGACCATTAACACAATTTGTTTGCTTTTTCTGATTTATGTTAATGATGTAGATGAAGGAATGGTCAATGAAGTATTTAAATTTGATGATGATATGAAAGTTTTGGGTGTTGCTGTGAGGATGCTGCTTTACAGAAAAATTTGAATTATAGTTGTTATATTTCCCTCTTCCTTCTTTCCACTGGCCATAAATAGTAAGGCCAGTCACGGTTTAGGTGCAGCTGGCCGGATTTAAGTCTTAGAGAAACATTCTGCACACTCTACATGGTTAAAAATGTGTTAATGAACAATTATGAATTGATTATATTAGTATACCTTTCCCCCCTACATTTCTGATGGAGTTTGGGTCAGGACACTTCTACGACATTCTTTCGCTGTGACAACCCTAAACTCTGGTGGGCCATTGCTGCTGTATACTTTACTTGAAACTAAATATTTTCTAAATAAAGTATATTGTTAAAAAATTTCTGCACACTTTTTCCTAGAATCACCATCATTTTTTCTCATCTCCTGCTTGCATGATTCTTGCCACTCCTTATGGTTAGCTTCAGGAATGGCTACTCTATCTGCAGTATTTATAAAATTCTCAATCAGGTAGTGTTGGCTATAAATCGACACTTACCATCACCCTTCACTGTGATTGCCGATTTGATGCTCAAAATTGAGCTTGATGCTATCTCTTAAACTACAACTTAAAGATTTCTGTGTGGGAGACAGCCTAGACACTTGTATAACATTTTAGATGTTTGTGTAACATTTTAGAGGTTTGCGAAAAATGGCCAAAATCAATCATGTAGTGTTCAAAAAACTGTGACCCTGTCAGCAGCATCTTTTCCGAAAAGAAGGAACCCTATACATAAACAAATGATACGCGACTTCAATCCAGTTAATCACTGCTATGGTACATGTGTCATGCCTGCCATATAAACACTAAATTATATCCATGGCATGCATGCAGCTATATACGTATGCATGAGGCTCCATATAAGCCATGGATTACATTAAAATGGTCGGGTGTCAACAGTTACACAGCCGTTGTAATTTGCTTGGTAGTCAGATAAACTTAAAATCTACCCTAAACAATGCACAATGATGCATTTAGAAACACTGCTCAGGTTTGATTACAATACTCACAGCCATTTTTGCTGTAGGCTGATGGAACAAAAAAATAATAATAACAATAAAAATAAATGGGTGATATCTATTATGAACCACTACTGTGGTCATAATATATTTATATATAATATTTCTACACTCCCCAAATTTCTGCTCCATAGCTCATAACTGTTTACCAAACTTCAAATCAAACTCCATTTCTCTTCTTTTAGCCACACTACAAGATGTACTAACTACTTGTTATGATTTTATCTAAGTATATTTTATTTGCTCCATTGCAAAATTCCTATTATTAAATCAATATACTAAATATTTATATTTTTTACCACCTCTACTGATTGACCATTTTCATTCTTTGCTAGTTTTCTGCCTTTTTCTAAAAACCATCATTTTTGATTTATCCAGATTTATAAGTTGAATTATCATTTTCAATATAT